CTTTGTGTGTGCTAAGCAAGCACTCTATCAACCGAGTCATATCCTCTGCTCTGTTTTTGTTTCTTGAGGCAGAATTTCATGCAGCCTTGGCTGGCCTGACACTTGATATGTATGTAGCCTGTTAAATTCCTGATCCTCATGCCTCAGCCAACCAAGTACTGTGATTACAGGCATGGGCCACCAGGCACAGTGAGGCAAGGGCTCTGCCATATTTGCTTTTGCTCTTGCAGTCTCATCTGGTGCTTTTCCCAAGCCTCATAGATTAGAGGCACTCTGAAGGTCACCAGTTATCCAGGTTCTAGCACAGAAAGGTCCTGGGCCCTGGGCCAACTGGGTCTGCTAATTACCTGCCCTGTCCAGCCTTCAGTGGCCCCACAGCCAGACTGATCAGTAGCCACATGGAGAGTCACCCTGCTTTCCCAGAAAAGAGCATTGTGGGGTTTAAGACAACAAAGGATAAGGCTAGGGTGGGCATTTAAGCCTGTAGCCTATGATGTTTTGATCAGCGGGTAAGAGCTGGTCCAGAGACAGAGATGCCTGCCCATTGTCATCTTCTCACTGAGCTTGGGGTCACTGGAGGCTGGGCAGTCATGGATGCAGGAAGAAATGATGGAAGAAAAGAGGGGAGGTGTGTCATGACTGATGAAGATATGTGAGTGCTGTTCTGATAATAAAACAACTGGATCTCTGGGACAGAGACCGACAGGGTCCTGAATATAGTGTAGGCCAATTCCTTTGGTGTAAATACTTCTGGCTTAGCAAATACATAACAGAATCCATTTAAGGGAAGATGGGTTATTTTGGCTTACAGTTTCCATCCATGTTGGAAGTGGGAGGCATGGTGGTACCAGCTGGGGACCAAGATTTTAAAGAGTTTAAGCCCATGGAGGATGTTTCACATTCAAATGAATACAATTTTCATTGTTTACTTCAGCCATTGTGGCGACATTAGGGATGCTGTCAGGCAGGAGGACTGCAGATAGCTCCTAGGAGCCATGTGTCCTGTATGTTTGTGCTGAATGTGTTGCTGGCTGTGTGCACAGGTTACCTGAGACAGTGTGCTAAGGTGAAAATTGAAAATTGTCCTTGAAAGATATCCAGTAACACTAGGAATCCCATTCTCCCTCTGGAATCTGAAACTTACTAAATCTTGAGGTTTCCTCCAGAAACAGGAATCCTCAGTGGCAAGAGTCAGTTGTGAGGAAATGAGCAGGTTGGTTTTAGAATAGTGTAGGACATATTCCATAGCAAGCTAAGGCACAATGAGAGCCATGTTCTCTTGTGAAAATAAGTAAGAAAGGTCTGAGGATGGGCACAGTTAGCAGACTGCCTGACCAACATGCATAAGGCCCTGCATTGCATAAACCAGGTGTGGTAAATGCCTATAATCCCAGTCCTCCGGGAGTCTGAGGCCGGTGGATCAGAAGTTCAAGGTCATCCTGGACTGTATAGTAAGTCAAGGGATAGCATGGGCTATATGATATCCTATCTCAAAAAAGAAGAACAAAAACAAGAAAGGGGTGAAACAGTGATATGAACAAGCAAAATGGAAAGGAAGGGTAGGATTTTCTTCACCACAGGAAAACTTTATTTATGTGGGTATAATGGAGAGTCAGTTATTAAACATCCCTCTGGATAAAATGCTAAGTGACAGCAAACTTCAGATAGGACCTCCCATTTCACTTGACATTGAATCAATGTCAAGTTTGACTCATTTGATGAAGACAGTAAGTCACACAGAAAGAGCCTGGCATTTGATACAGCCAAGACCACAAATCTTATTAAGAAGCATTTTACATAGAAAATATGTGAAATGCAAACAAAATTTAGTAGCAAAAGCTAAATTAAATATTTAATGAGATAATTAAGTCTTATTAATGGTATGTTCTTTATTCTGCTGATTAGATATTCAGGAGAATTATCATCTCTTTCATCTTTATTACTTAAGCGATGTGTTTTTCATAATTATTTGTTAGGTATTTTCATTAACATTTGATGAATATTAATAGTTAAAATAAAAAACAGTTTTTATTTCTGCTATAATGACTTTACGTCGGCAACAATATATAACTAAGTGTTTATAATGTGTTCCACTTGTGAGTATGTCAATGGGTGGTGGTGCCACTGAACAGTGGAAACCTGGGTCTTTATGATGATAAACAGGATCATCAGGCTCTTCCATTATTCTTTATTTATTTATTTAATTTACTCCTCTCATAAAGCTTCATTGTAGGAGAAGTATGAGCTGCAAACTTACTACTAAAACTAATAAGTTGGAACATGGAGATGGCTCAGTGGGTAAAGGGCCTGCTGTGCAAGCATGGGGACCTGAGTTCAGGTCCCCAGCACCCAGGTAGAAGCTAGGCTTGGTAGTGTGCACCTATAACCCCAGTGCTGGGGGCAGAGAAAATGAGTCCTGGGAGCTTGCTGGCCAGGCAGAGTAGCTGAAATAGCAAGATCTGAGCTCAGTGAAGAGCTCCTGTCTCAAAAACTAAGAAGGAGACAGACATCTAATATCAACCTCTGACCTCCACATGTGCCCCCATGGGTAAATGTATGCACACATACACACAAATGCACACACACATGCATGCATACCCACATACAATGTACACAGAAGCATGTGCACACACTCCCTGAGTCACATATTTTTGAAGATTTATTTTATTTTTAAAATTATGCGTGTTTGTATGTGTAGGGGTGGTTGTGTATATGATACCCTAGGGAATGCATATGCCCTAGGAGCCCAGAAGAAGGCATTGGAGCTCCTGAAGCTGCATTACAGGTTACTGTAAGCTTCCCAACACAGCCACTGGGACTCTTGGTCCTTTCTAAGAGCAAAGCATGCTCTTAACTGAAGAGCCATTTCTTCAGTCCCCTAGCTTGTATCTTAAGATACAAGTCTGTCGTTATTGATGGTCTACACATCTTGTTATCATCCTCATTGGGTTCTCATAGTTTGGGTCCATTACATTAGCCCTCCACAGCAAGTCCAGCTTAGGCCAGTGACTGCACAGACATTTGTTTCCCTTTTGGGGATTTCCATCCTGGAAAAGGGCTTCCTGTCTCAGTTATGTAGTGATTGAAGAGAGAAAACTGGCATGAGTCCAATAATGTACTCTAAGGATAGGGAGAGCACGTGGTGCCCATACACCCTGCACCACCAATATGGCCACCACATTGCCTTCAAAACCCCCATGAAGAGCCGGAAACTTCCAAAGAAGCCCTAGATCTGCACCTTGGTTTCCAAATGACAGGCTATAGGGCACTGTGGAGGCTTTTTCTGCAGCCTTAAGTGATGTTGGTCAGGAGGGTAAAGGTGGCAGTGGCTTCTCAGTCAGGCCTATAGCCACATTTCAAAGCAGTCTCTCAGAGCCCTTTGATAGATGCCTTTGCACTCTGGAGTCCAGACGGAGTTGGCCTAATCAGAACAGTGTGCCCTTTGGCATTCTGGGAAAGCTTTTCACTTTCTGCAGGAATTATTTGCATATTTAAAGCCGCAGCTTTTTGGAAAGAGCTTTGAATGTGTAATGTTTGGGGCAGGGTTATCCATGTTTGTTTATTGAAGGACCTCTGTGGGCAATTTCTGATTCTCAAAGCCATTGCTAAGTGGGTGGGCTATCTATATACATGTGGTCACATGCTCAGTGTGTCAGCTTTCCATCTAAGTCAGCATCTCCTGGCTGGTGCAGGGTACCACTAGGTATTGAGACAAGGTCCTGTGGTTCTCACTTCTCTCTGGGGCCTGGAACTTCTTTTCTCTGTGATTTTTTTCTATATGGTAATACAAGACAAAGGTTCTAATTTCGTTGACAAGAAAAGGCCCAAACTAGGCATGATGACACAGGCCTGTTAGCCCAGGTACTTGGAAGACCCAGGCAGGAGGATCAAAAGCTAAAAGCCTGTCTGAGCTACAGAAGGATTTCAAAGGCAGCCTGGGCTGCAAAGTGAGTTCAAGGCCAACTTGGGCAACTTAGCAAGGTCCTAAAAAGAGAGTTGGTAATAGAATATTAGCCTATAAGGCCTTAGGTTCAATCTTCACCTCCCTTAAAGAATAAATAAACAATGGCAGTTTCTCAGAAATTTGGGACTCAATCTATCTCAAGACCCAGCAATACCACTTTTGGGCAGATACCCAAAGGGTGCACACTCACAACACAAGGACATTTGCTCAATTATGTTCATAGCAGCATTATTCATAATAGCCAGAACCTGGAAACAATCTAGATACCCCTCACCTGAAGAATGGATAAGGAAAAGGTGGTATGTTTACACAATGGAGTACTACCTAGTGGTAAAAAACAAAAAAACAAAAACAAACAAACAAACAAAAAAAACAATGACATCTTGAAATTTGCAGGCAAATGTATGGAGCTAGAAAACACATCCTGAGTGAGGTAATGCAGACACAGAAAGACAAACACCATATATACTCACTCATAAGTGGACATTAGACATAAAACAAAGGATAACCAGTTTACAGACTACAACCCCAGAGAAGTCAGGGAACTAGGAGTACCCTAAGCGAGACATACATGGATTTCCCCTTGGGAAGGGGAAATAGATAAGTTCTCCTGAGTAAATTGGGAGAATAGAGGGAGGGAGGGAGGTGGTATTGGAGTAGGGGAGGAGAACAAGTGGGACTGGGAAGGTTGGAGTTAGGGGAAGGATAGAGAGGGAGGGCAAGGAAAGAGATACTTTGATAGAGGAAGCCAATATAGGGTTAACAAAAAACCTAGCACAGGAAAATTCCCAGGAATCCACAAGGATGACCCCAGCTAAGAGTCTAAGCTTTAGTGGAGAGGGTATCTTAACTGTCTATAATCAGATTGATGACCATCTTAATTGTCATCATAGAACCTTCATCCAACAACTGATGGAAGCAGATGCAGAGATCCACAGCTAAGCACTGGGCCAAACTCCTGGAGTCCAGCTGTAGAGAGGGAGGAGCAATAATATAAGCAAAGGGGTCAAGACTGTGATGAGGAAACCCACAAAAACAGCTGACCCGAGCAAGTGGGAGCTCACAGACTCCAGACTGACAGCTGAGGAACCTGAATGTGAGTGATAGTTGGGTGGCTTGGGCAGCTTGTTGGGCCACTAGCAGGGGAACCAGTATTTATCCCTAGTATATGAAATGGCTTTTGGGGGCCCATTCCCTGTGGAAAGATACCTTGCTCAGCCTAGATACAATGGGGAGGGCCTTGGTCCTGCCTCAAGTGATGTGATAGACTCTGTTGATTCCCCATGGGAGGTCTCACCCTTTCTGAGGAGTGGATGGGGGTGGTGTAGGAAGAAGGGGGGAAGTGGGAGGATGGGAGGGAGAGGAAACTGGGGTTGGTATGTAAATTGTTTTAAAAATAAAAAATAAAGAAGAATAAATGAACAGAAAGATGATAGATAGAAGACAGGTAGATAGAGAGAAAGAAAGACAGACAGATACATAGGTAATAGAGTCCCAGTTAACAAATGAAAATAAGACAGAAGAAGACCCCCCCACCCCCATTCATGGTGTCAGTGCTTAATGCTGATATGCAGGAAGATCCCACCATATTTCCCTGACCCTGTTGCCCTTGCTAACCACATCTCTCTGGCCCTGGGCTCTCTGATTTTGCTGTGCTCATTTGTCTTGCTAAACTGTCCTTGACAAGGGGCCAACATTAAGAAACTTCCCTAGGCTGCTACCACATCTGGCCCAGAATGACTAAATCCCAGTTTGCCTTGACCACTTGAGCAAAAACCAGCCCTGGGCAAATCCCATGATCCTAGTTGTTCTCAGGCCACCAAGGGGGGAGCAAGATGTGGGAGATTCTGGCAGGAGAAGGAAAGCAGAGATGGGATCCCTTCACACTGGAACCATGCGTCTCCTTGGCTAAGGGTGGGTGGCAAATAAGCACATAGGCCTCATTTTCCCCTTTGTGCTTTGAGCATATCAAGAGGAAAACACATGTGGGCTCTAAAAGGACAGACATGGACTGGTGCCCTTGGAGGGAGATGGTCTTTATAGTGGATGGTGCTGTGGATAGCAGGCAATAAAGACCACTTGACTGACATCAGGCTATCCCAGCATTCATCTATAATGTCTCTTCTAATTGAGCCACATTGAGACCCTTGTTTATTACCTGCATAGTTCTAGCACCATATTTGGTTCCCTGCAGTAGATGGATAGACTATTCTTGTCACCAGCCTCTGGTTAGTGGCAGTCAACCAGGACTTTCCACATCCCCTCCTTCCCTCCCTCTACTGTCTACTAACCAGGCTCCAAAGAGCATTCCCTGCCACTTCCCTGGTGGCTGCAGACTCTTGGGGACACTGCCTCTACATTCAGGAACCAGGAGGCCCAGTGAGTCATCCATACCAGGGAAACCACCAACAGTAGCTGAGAGCATTTCTAGACTAGTCCCCCTCCCCTTTGCTGGACTTCTTGAGTCTTCAGAGAACAGAGACACTGGAACTCACAGGCTAAGAAGCATTCTTAGATGCAGTGGCCAATTACACTTCCTTGCAGGGTAGAAGTTAGAAGTTCTATTTGGAAATGAAGATGGGGTATACTTAGCTGCAAACTGGTTTCTTGGTGTGTCCTGAACCAAGTGGCTGGAGGTGTGAGCTTGTGATGGTTCAATAGGAATATCATATCACATCTGGATCTGAGGAGATGGTCCAGCCAGTGAAGTGCTTGCCTTACAAGCACAGAGACCTGAGTTCAGTCCTCAGAAACCATGCAAAAAGCCAGGCATGGTAGAGCATGCTGGTAATTCTAATGCCGTGGAGTAGAAGGATTCTTGGAGTCCACTGGCCAGCCTATAAACACAGTCTATTTGGTGAGCTCTAGGTCAGCAAGAGATGTTCTCTTAAAAAAAAAGTGGATGGACAGGGCTTAAAGAATGACATCCAAGGTTGACCTCTGACTTCCAAATGCATATGCATATATGCAGGAGTACACGTGAAAGCATACACACACACACACACACACACACACACACACACACACACACACACACACACACACACACACGCATGGATGCAAGCACACATACGATGCCTATTCTTTCTCCCTGCAACAAAATTCCCAGCGTTTGCACTGGGACCTCAGTTGGGAGGACTTCTGCCCCTCACATCATCACAATGGGTGTAAGCTCATCCCTGCCTGCTGACTGCTGGAGGGTACAGCCATCTAGCTGAACTCCTGAGTTCTACAGTCTTGACTTTAGTGCCCAGCCTGGGGCAAACTGGCCACTGCTAAACTGCTATCGCACACTCTGGCCTGACATGAACCAGAGCCAGTCTTCTGAGCTTGTTTCCTGATGTCACCTCCCAGGGAAAGAACAAGAGGGAGATGGCCAAGGAGCTATGTGGCAGCTTGGGGCCTTGTGACTTTGGGGCTTCACAGCCTGCCTGGAGACAGGCACACACAAGGGCTCTCAACGGCAGAGGGAATTGGATGCCCTCTCATGCACACAGCTGTGGAGGCAGCTCAGATCTTCTCCTCCTGGACTGCCTCAGGGAACTGAATGCTTAGAGACTCCCTTTGGGGCTCAGAGTAATAGATGCCAGAGGTGTGTCACACACCAGCTGCTGGCCCCATTTAGGAAGCCCCAGTTCCATTTTTAATACACATTTTTAATAATTGTGAGACAGGGTCTCAAGTTTCCCAGGCTGGTCTTGAGCTTTCAGGCCTCCTGTCTCAGCTTCAAGAGTCTCTAGGATGGTATATCTGTGCTTCCAGACACAGCCCATAATGAACAGATATTTGAGAGATACCAGGTCCTATTCTTAAACTCCTATCTGAGCCAAAGCATATATAAACACATTTGTAATTTCCTGATGATTAATACTAAATCCCCTCCCCAAAAAAGTGGCACCAATTTATACTAGTTCAAACTTTGGAAAAGATGATTTTGCGGAAAATGTAATTATTTCTATAATCATTTTGGACAACTGAGTATGAAGGTTGGACTACATAACAAGCCAAGGGTAAGGGTTACCTTCACAAAGATCATAGAGATCAGGGGTATGCTGTTGTATATCTTTATACCACATATAATGCATAATATAATATTTAATTTCATTTAAATTTCACGCTAAAAATTGAAATCTTTGGGTATATATGTATGTAGATACACACATGTTTGTCTCTGTGTGGTCACACTTGTATAGAAGCCAGAGATTGAAGCTAGGTGTTTTCTAGTAGCTTTCCATGTTATTTTTTTGAGACAGGGTCTTTCACTGAATCTGGAGCTCATGAATTCAGCTAGACTGGATGGTCAGCTAGCCCCAGGGATCCTCATATTTCCATCTTCCCAGAGATGGGCTTACAGGATGTGCTGAGTCACAGGGTCCTGGGGATGCAAACTCAGGTCTTCATGTTTAATCATCTTAGCCATCTCCCCAGATCTTAAAAAGAGCTGTTTTGTCCTCCAATTCCAGATGAGAAAAGTGAGGGTCAGAAATCCAGCCCTTGATCCCTTACCATTTCCATGACAACATATTGAGCAGGACCACCTAGCTGCTATATGGTCAGAGTCCTAATGTGCAACCCAGACTCACCATTGAGATTAAACTCCGTGGACACAAAAGTCTTACGTTACCCATGTTGAGGCCCTGAAACAGCCTGATAGCTCTCCAGGGTAAAAATAGACCTGCAATTCTGACCTCTTCCCTTGAGGGCTGGGGCAAGGGAAGAGAAGGGATGGGGCTGAGGATGAGAAGAAAAACAGCTTCAAGCCTCTGAGGATTGAGCAAGGTGTAAGGGCGAGTATGGCGTGTTCCGGCTGGGCTGGCCGGCCTCCCGCTCTTGACTCAGAAGCAGGGAATTCACTCTGGTTTCCTTTTTCTGGTTGCCTCGTTGATCAGCCACAGGGCGGGATGCATGCTGAGGCAATGAAATTTGGGTGACATGTCACACTGGGGGAAAAGCAGCTACTCACAGGCTGAGTCATGGCTCTGGTGCAGGTACTGGATGATACACGCTCTAAAAAATGCAGAGCTGTCTGCCAGACTGCAGCCAGAGCCACAGGAGAACCAGGTCTCCCGGTGACCTGAGACTCCCTGGAGTTCTGGAAATCCCTGATTGGAAAAAAAGAGAATGAAGATGCCTTAATGAGACCTAACTTCAGATCTAATTGTGACAGAAATCAATCCTGAGGTTGCATGGAAGTGAGACACTTAATGAACAAGGGTACCAGCGGTGACAGGTCTTTACTCTGGGAAGCCCATCTACACCCTGCCTAATTTATGAACAATGGTTTCAGATACAGCTCAGTGGATAGAGTGCTTGCTAACATGCATGAGGTCCTAGAATCCATCCCCTTGCCATAGAAGCTAGTCTTCATGGCACACACCTGTAATCCCAGCACTTGGAAAGTAGGGACAGGAGGATCAAAAATTCAAGTTATTTCTCAGCTTCATGCTAGCCTGAGATAAATGAAATTTTGTCTCAATGAAATACAAAATAATAATAAATTTAAAAACTTTTATGGGGCTAGAGAGATGGCTCAGTTGGGAAAAGCCCTTGCTGTGTGACCCTGATGACCGGAGTTCAGCCCCTGCAGCCCACCACAATGGAAGGGAGAGAACTGACAACCAGAACTTGTCCTCTGACCTCCACAGGTGTGCATGCATTCACTTGCACCCATCATAAAAACGCTTAATAAATAAGTAAGTAAATAGGTTAATACAATTTAAAGACATTAATGAAGATCTCGGTAGAATCCCAGGTCTACACGCATTTATATCTCTTTTCCTTCAACAATTGTCATTGATGACATCTGTAATTTATTCCTTGAAAAGATGAACTGTCAGTCAACAGTCTGGCGACACATCTCCTGGGCATGTGAAATGGCAAGTGGAAACAACATGCTCACCCTGTCGTCTACTTATTCTGTTGACACACCGGCAAGGCCCCTAAACACTGAGTCCCTCCCAGACTGACTGGTTGACCTCAGTAGGAAGATATCACTCTCTGCTACTGGATAAAACAGAACCAATGATTGGTACATTTGAAATAACAGAAGAAAGGGTCCCTGATCACTTGACTATGTCAAGGGCACCACCAATTATGAATACTGCTATCCTGCTTAGTCACTTCTGTTTCTGCATCACCTTCCACCTAAGCTCAGTGGCCTTAAGCTATGTGGGGTTAGGGAAAATTTGGAGACGGGCACCATGTGTTCTGTACCTGCTATATGATCTATATACCAATGGTGGCCAAGCCCTTTTATTTGCAGTAGTGTGCTTATCATTTCATCTCTGCACCAACTTACTGGCATATGCTACAGTATCCTTTTCTTGTAAGTGAGAATTCAGGAGGTTTCATAACCTGCCAGGGCCACACAGGTCATAAGCACCAGGTTCTGGAGCTCACCCAGGAAGATGGTTCCCAGGGTTTTATTTTATTCCCCAGTGCCTATCATAGACACTGCTCTCTCTCTCTCTCTCTCTCTC